CATCTTTTTTTAGAAAACATAGTATTTGATTCATATTTTTGGGTATATTACTAATATGGTTAGTCCACAATAGTTTGGAGTTGAATGTTACTTCAGTTGTGGGCACGTTATAAAGCGAGGACTAATCCATTAACCGGTTTAAAGTGGCGCATAAAGTCTCTGTGGCGTCAAGGGCTGCTGACCGGCAATCTCTCCATCTGGAAAGTAGCTCAAAATTAGGAAAGACTACATCTCAGTCATAGAGGTCTCTAACCTAAACGTTTAACCAACTTGGAGTATAAGGTGATTTTCAGGTTGAAAACTTTCAACTCCAATTCCTTTTTAATTTTGTCCAGTTATATTTTAGAAGAGGTGCGTGCTTGGAAACTAACTCGAACACGACGATAAAAGAAACGAACAGCAGCACAGAGTTATCAGGAAGTTTTATGAGTTAGAGTTAAAACAGAAAATGCAACTCTGATAAAACTTCTACACTTTAAATGATGAGTTTACATTTTCTTATGATATCACAGAGAGACGTAGCACATCCAAAAGACGAGATTTCCAGAACTGAAAATAACATCGTCTTGGTCTAACCGATAATAACTTTGTTCACTCAGCCTTTTATTTTGGTCTGTATGAATTTTTATATGAGGTTTTTCTGTAAAGTAGTTATCGTTTGATATTGGATTTCTCGAGTCTGTGTCTGTTGTCTTTCAAGAAAGCTCATTATATACAAGAGAATACGTCATGTCTTTCTGAGCCTGAAGCCCCCCAGTGGCACAGCGGTATGTCTACGGACTTACAATGCTAGAATCCGGGTTTCGATACCTGTGGTGGCCAGAGCGCAGATAGTCTATTGTGTAACTTTGTGATTAATTACAAACGAACAAACAAAGTGAGCCTGAAATATGATTGCAGCATATAGCCGATAGCTTGCATAAAATTAGAGAATAAAATAGTTTGCTATACAATTTTCTGATCTCCATAATTGCTTAACTTCATTATAGGACTGACATAATAAAATTTTACATGCTTTGAAATGTTCATAAATTTTTTATAGAAAACATTTGAAAAGCCTTACGATACTGCTTGTAATCAGTTTCTACTTTTCTTTTTACTCACCATCTCTGTCACGTACGTCATTATACAAACTATTTCAAAAATGAGAAAAAGAGAAACTATAAAGCATTTTTTTCCCTAAACAATGCATATGAATTTAGTTCCAAGTAACTTTTTATGTTTCTAAAGAATATTGCTCCTACTTAGTTGAGGATTTTTTGGTTTGAATTTCGCGCAAAGCTACACGAGGGCTGTCTGCTCTATCGGTCCCTAATTTAGCAGTGTAAGACTAGAGGGAAGACAGCTAGTCAACATCACCCACCGACAACTCTTGAGCTACTCTTTTACCAAGAATAGTGGGATTGACCGTGACGTTAAAACGCCCCTACGGCTGTAACGAGGATTCGAAATCACGGCACGCGCACTGGGAGTCAAGCGCCTCTAGCCTCCAGGCCATGCAAGACCATCCAAAGATGAGGAAAATATTGAATTAAAAATAATTAATTGTTATTGGTTATAACTCTACAAACAATTAAAATTACCTTAAAAGTAGGACTTAAAATTTTCCTTCAAATAGTTTTAAACTTCAAAAGTGAACAAAATATGAAAATAAATGTTTGCAAAATTTATTATAATCTGTATTAACTTTTTCAAATAAAAAGTGATTGCACTATGATGCAAATAATGTAAAACAAACTGCTTGCCCTTTACTAGAACTTCAACTTGTAATCGTTTAGAAACAAAATCAACGTATAACCCAAACTCTTGGTATTTGGCACTAAATGCGATGTTTCGTACATCAGATTAGTACTTAGTGGGTGCCCCCCAGTAGCACAGCGGTATGTTTGCGGACTCACAACGCTAGAAACCGGGTTTCGATACCCGTGGTGGGCAGAACACAGATAGCCCTTTGTGTAGCTTTGTGCTTAATTTCAAAACAAAAACAAAACTTAGTGGGTATGTTAAAATAATGCTAGAATGAAAAACATCTTATGAACATTTTATGTACAATAAAGATGTCAGAAATACATTTTTAAAATAGATACTGACTAAGTTTGATGTTATCTTTATTTTCGATTATTTGTTTGTAATTAAGCACAAAGCCACACAATGGGTTACCTGTGCTGTGCCCATCACGGATATAGAAACCCGGTTTTTAGCGTTGCAATTATTATGTTATAAGTAGGGTTTAGCATATTTTATGGATAATTGCACATTAAGAATAATTAGAAAATTAATCTTAAAACTCAGTTTTAGATGTTTCAAAGTACGTTGCAGTGTATCAGGTACTGCTATAAAAGAACCTCTTGTTTCTTCGAGGCTCCGGATGACTCAGAGGTCAGTCTGAGGGCTTATAACTCTAAAGATAAGGGTTTGATACTCTCAGTAGACACAGTACAGATAACCCATTGTGTAGCACTGTTCTTAAGAACTAACTTATTTCCTAGACCTTCTAAGCACAGTATACTAAAACGTTTTAGATTAAATTTTATAAATGAAATTTAACAAATAATTTAAACTTATATCGAAAACTCGCATTTTAACATTTCAAAGAAGCATGTTTCTAATTTTAAGGATTAAAACAAAACGAAAAATTGATATGTAAATATTGAACACAAGATCACTCCCTCAACCAGATGTGCCTCGGTAACACAGAACGGACGTGAAACATCCGGGATTTATCCGATTTTGGCGAAGCTTATATAGGATGTTGCATATAACGAGATATGATGATTACAATTTCAAAATCGGACAAAATTTACCTTGTTATGATTGGTCATATAATCAGCTAAACTCCATAGTTAATGACAGTAGTTATTGTTGTGTAACCGACGGATCTGCCACGTGAACTTTCTTCTTCGCCCGACGTTGCACATTATTTTCAGAGTAGAGCCAAATAGATCTTCAACAGATAGCTCCAAGCTCCGCTGACCGTGACTGGAACTTTGCTACTCTTCCGAATGTCATCATAAATCCCCACTATTCCCGCGATTATCTGCATGTGCAAGGCTCGAGATGTTCGACTTGCACACTGTACAGCCGTTGTGGATGCGATCATGTTGGACTTTTTGACAGCTGTTGTTGAAGCAATCCATTTGTCAAGCCCAAATATGCTGTGGCTGCACTCAAAAATAGGTTCAGTGCTTAAATAAACAAAAGTGATAGTAGAAGCGGCCTTCCGCCAGGTTAGAAGATGAAGAACAAGGTCTTCAACTTAAAAACAAACAAACAAAAATAATGAAGTAAGTTCGCGTAATTTGGTTTGAAAATCAAAACAGAAATAATATATTCGCGTGTGTGGTGTGACCGTTGTTGGTAAGGGGTTGCAGCAACTCCAAAATCCTGTGTCTTTCACTGCTCATAACTCTTGACTGAAATACGTAACCATCACATGGGTTGCATATTTTGGTACAGCAAATTTTGGACTTTCCAACGGTGTATGCATCACCTCCAAGAAACAATTACCGGAACTTTTTGTTCCTTCCCTTGCCACACAAAAACACTACTTCGCTTCTGGTTGAGGGCGAGATCTATGTTAAGTAAAAGGAATAAGATTTAAATGAACAAATATTTATCACGTGATATTTGTTGTTATTTTCATTCCAACATTTTATGTTTGTTTATTTGTATTTACGCACAAAGCTACACAAGAACTATCTGTGCTCTGCCCACCACGGGTATCGAAACCCGGTTTCTAGCATTGTAATTCCGCAGACATACATCCGCACCGCTGGGGCGCAACATTTTATGAAAGTTTCTCTTAGCTAAACTATTATATTTGCTCAAGACAATAAGCTTCAACAAATTTGGAATAGAAGAAACAGTTACCCAGAACCTTACTTGCACTTCTTTGTTGTTGTACAATAATAATTCTTAGAAAAGCAAAACAGCTGTGACGTGGGAACGTTGGGAAAATACATAATTAAAGGATTTACGTAACAAACACAGTTTCTATTTTTAACAAGTGTACCACAGTGATGCACTCAACGAATCACAATGCACTGACATGCGCACAAACACAAGGTTTACAGACGCTGAGAATATAACAACAGACTACTTTGAATAACGGATAGTTGATGCATATCCATGGTTTTATAGAAAGTGTAAGAAAAGAAATAAAGCTTTCGTATGTGTAAAGCCACTTTATTCTAAAAACTGAAAAAAAAAATATTTCCTAGGTTTTGAGAAGTAGAGAATACAGCAAAATATTTATTATTTTCTGTATTCCATATTGTATATAATTTTTAATGTTTTAATGAAATAAAATTGAAAGTTTTTAGCCCAAATAAGTTTGACACCGAAAGGTAGTTTTGAGAGTCAGTGTTACAGTAAACAGTTAACAAAATTATGTTTTTATTATGATAGGCTATTCGGATATTTTGATAAGCTTTATCATTTTTTTTAGATGGTGTTTTGGTGAGAATAAATAGGTGTGTGGGCAATTAATTAGAGAGATTTAACATTATTATTGTCTACATCAAGTATGTACTTTTATCACATTCGAAACTAAGAAATGTTCAGACTTTTCATTAAAAGAAGTATACTTTGGAATTGAACTTCGAACTGACGGATCGTGTCCAGTGTGTTAGGTAAAGGACTGTCTGTCTACCTGCCAAATAAACAAGATAACAGTGTGCTGTCGAATAAAACAAACAAAAAACAGTAGATCGTCGAAATAAGCAAACAGTGGATGTAAAGATAAACAGAAGACAGTGGACCATCAAGACAAACAAAAAGTGGATCGCCGAAATAAAAACGAGAGTGAACTGTCAAAATTATAAAAACACGGTTAGTTGTCAAACTAATCAGAAGATAGTGGATCGTCAAAACAAGGAAAATATAGTGGTTCATCGAGGGAACAGAAAGCAATAAACATTTGAGACAAATATATTTAATGGTGCGTAACAGAAATTAGTTCATAAGTTTATTGTTCATCCGAACATTTGGATAAGGTGATGATGTCCATCGAAGAAGTTAATTTCACTTCCTGGCATAAGGAACACGATTTTGCTAACCTGTCTTGGCCAGCTCTTGACTGTTTGTTAAAGTTCAGTACGAATTCTTCACCTTTAGAGAAAGGTAAGATCGTTGCTTGTATTTTTATTTCTAATAAAAATGGATATTTTATGCCGATAATGATCAATGTGAAGTTGATTTTAATCCCAGAGTATCTATTTTCTTTATACCGCTGAAAATACCGGGTCTACGCAGTAAAAGGTGTACTAATTTCTTGATAAAGATATTATAACGAAACGTTAGAATTAAAGTTACTCAGTTTTGTGATTACTAATTTCTTGATAAAGATATTATAACGAAACGTTAGAATTAAAGTTACTCAGTTTTGTGATTAAATTATGCGTCACCCGTTAGAAATGTCAACTGTAACCCAGTTAAAACATTATTGGACGCATTTTGTTTCTCTTTCATTTTGTATTCTGAACCAACTTGGTTAAGTTGAGGCTTCTACATTAATATACGTTAATGCTATTGAAAAATATGGAAATATGTTATTGATAAACTGTTTACTGGAATGTGAGAAAAAAATATTTTGGTATTTGATGGCTTAATAATGTCAAAAAAATATTTTATTTAGTAAACCGTTTGTAAAATATGACAAAATTTCCAAGAATATAATATCAATAGAAGAGAAAAGACCTCGGTGGTCAGAGCACGAATATGCCCATTATATAGCTTTGTGCTTAACAGCAAACAAATTATTTTTATGAATTAGAAATAGAAAATTGTACGATATCTGATACACAAAATAAGAAATAGTTCTAATAAAAGACGTGTACTTTCATTCACCTAATAGTAACATTTCTTCATTTTTATGCAAAAGTATAATAATTTCTCTGTTACTTAGATTTTATAATGTTTGTAATAAACTAGAGTATGTATTACTAATGTAGAATAGCTATATGAATAAGCATAATATATTAAATAATGAGATGTAATAAGGGCTTTTCCCCCTGGTGGCTCAGAGATAAGACTGATGGTTTATTATTCTAAAAAAAAAGGGTTTCTATATCCGCGGTGGCTACAGCACAAACAGCAAATTGTGTAGCTTTGTGCCTATCAATAAAAATAGTTTTTAAAATATTCAATTATAAAATCGTAAGTTATATCTCACATTTGAAAATAATGATATTAGAGAAAACGTTACATAGAAGTTGGGTACCTTATATTCAAATGATTTTGGAGCCTCACCACGTCGTTACAGTCCGTGTCGCTACGTCCAATCATGCCCTATATGACGGCCGTGCATTTTGATAACAGTCTTGCAGCATAGTTTCTATTGCAAAAGGCTCCAGCGTAATACTTCAATGTTAAATTATCACCGTTAATCCCTGCTATCATTCCATCGTAAACCATTTAATGTACGGGGACGACGGTTTTCCAGGACCAGTTTCACAGATCGACTCCATAGACATTCTTAGGCTCTGAGTTTGGTGGCTTAATCAGTACCTTTTTGTGGTGAATACTGCCCCCCCCCCCAGTGGCACAGCGGTATGTCTGCGAACTAACAACGCTAGAAACCGGGTTTCGATACCCGTGGTGGGCAGAGCGCAGATAGCCCATTGTGTAGCTTTGTGGTTAACTTCAAATCAACAACAACATCGTATTGTTTAAATACCCAATTCATTCCCCAAGTGATAGAAGTATGCTACGGTTTAACGGTTATATTATGGAAGCAACTTTTATACATTTAACTTGTCATTTTTCCAGACAGAAGAAACCTTCTTCATTATTTTGCGTATTGTTGCCTGGGACGCGTAGCCAGCTTTTATCACCAACTTTTTTGTTTATGTATTCTCACCTGCTACAAGACACCGTACATTTCTCGCCATCCTTTTTTCCATGTTGTTAGTTTAGTGTCTCTTTAAGTGGTATCATCTCGTTAAATTCGCATAGTTTGCTGGTTTTATATGAGAATGCCGCCTTCTTTATAAATATTTCATCTTCACAGAAAGAAGAATTATTCGTGTTTGGCTATCTGGTCATATTAATATTTTTGGAAAAAGAGTGAGATGATAGTGCTACAAAAGTGACAGTCTTCTCCCTGTCATCAATAGTTCTTCCTTAAAGTAGCTCGTAGTGTTCAGGTCATCTCTTCGAAAGGCACACTTCCTCTTAATCATAGAATTATTCTTGTTTTCTGATAAGTAACATATTTATAATCTTTGCCATTAACCAAACATTTCTCTCCTTTTAACGGCAAGCGCCAAAATATGGTTACGACTTGGTCTTGTCTTTTAAATTATACATTACATTATATTGATTAGGTGGATTCGGCATGATGTCTGTTCTACAGGAGTTCTATGGAGACTTTCTGTATCCTACTCATGCTGAGGAATGTTAATACCTCAAAGACTCCACAACCCAGTTTCATTTCTTTTTTTTTTCTCTGACTTCATTGCAAAAAGGATTTCACATGCCTTCCATCATTGTATTTAGTGTTGCTTACTTTCTTGTTTCAATAAGCATAGGTTTTAGTGTACATAAATCCACCAAGGCTTTCAAATAATGAAACACCCAGAAACGACGAAGAGCGCCACAAGGATGACACTAGACGTATTCGCTGTTACTTTGCGATATTTCTTGTGGGAGAGGTGTATGAGAGTTTGAAAATTAATTTATGCTCTCACTCTGTTAGGGTTAGGAGAAATTTGGAGGACTATGTACTTATCCTAAAATCCGAGTTAATTTTATTCTTTATCTCAATGAAAGGATGCAGGTTTTCTAAAACCTCTATTGAAATATTTGTAATATTTGCCTTTGGAAGCAAGTTGAATAGTAATGTTGTGTCGTGTCACTAGCAAAACAAATAGAACCAGAATTTCCAAGCATAAAATGTTGCTCTATTGTAAAATAGTCAGAAAAGTAGTATTCAAAAGTTAACTAAAGGAAAGGTATAAAAATAAAAAAAAGGTGAGATTCTATTCAAACATCAAGCTTTCAGTAAACGAACTGAGCAAGCCAGTAATGTAGAGATTTTATGCTCCATGTAAAGTCGAGACAGCTTAGTCTGCTATGTGATCATTAGTCGATCAAGTGATATGTCCACTTCGATTCCCATTTTGTTTGGTTTCCTTTTTCAAGCTCAGTAGCCAGTCCTACATAGCTTTTATATTTAGCGATAATTTTTCACCTTATCTTGTATGTTATAGAAGTAGCTGTAATATGATATTGCTGTAATATTTGTAGAAGTAGTTGTAACATATAGAAGTAGCTGTAATATTTGTAGAAGTAGTGATAACATATTATAGAGGAAGCTGTAATATTTGTAGAAGTAGCGATAACATATTATAGAGGTAGCTGTAATATTTCTAGAAGTAGTGATAACATATTATAGAAGTAGCTGTAATATTTGTAGAAGTAGCGATAACATGTTATAGAAGTAGCTGCAATATTTGTAGAAGTAGTTATAACATGTTATAGAGGTAGCTGTAATATTTGGAAAAGTAGTGATAACATTATAGAGGTAGCTGTAATATTTGTAGAAGTAGTAATAACATATCATAGATGTAGCTGTAATATTTGTAGAAGTAGTGATAACATATTATAGAAGTAGCTGTGATATTTGTAGAAGTAGTTATAACATGTTATAGAAGTAGCTGTGATATTTGTAGAAGTAGTTATAACATGTTATAGAAGTAGCTGTAATATTTGTAGAAGTAGCTGTAATATTTGTAGAAGTAGTTATAACATGTTATAGAAGTAGCTGTAATATTTGTGGAATTATTGATAACATATTCAAGAAGTAGCTGTAATATTTGTGGAAGTAGTTGTAACATATAGAAGTAGCTGTAATATTTGTGGAAGTAGTTGTAACATATGGAAGTAGCTGTAATATTTGTAGAAGTAGTGATAACATATTACAGAAGTAGCTGTAATATTTGTAGAAGTAGTTATAACATGTTATAGAAGTAGCTGTAATATTTGTAGCAGTAGTGATAACATATTCAAGAAGTAGCTGTAATATTTGTGGAAGTAGTAATAACATGTTATAGAAGTAGCTGTAATATTTGTAGCAGTAGTAATAACATGTTATAAAAGTAGCTGTAATATTTGTAGAAGTAGTGATAACATATTATAGAAGTAGCTGTAATATTTGTAGAAGTAGTTATAACATGTTATAGAAGTAGCTATAATATTTGTAGAAGTAGTTATAACATGTTATAGAATTAGCTATAATATTTGTAAAAGTAGTTATAACGTGTTATAGAAGTAGCTGTAATATTTGTAGAAGTAGTTATAACATGTTATAGAAGTAGCTGTAATATTTGTAGAAGTAGTTATAACATATTATAGAAGTAGCTGTAATATTTGTAGAAGTAGTTATAACATATTATAGAAGTAGCTGTAATATTTGTGGAAGTAATGATAACATGTTATAGAAGTAGCTGTAATATTTGTGGAATTCATGATAACATATTATAGAAGTAGCTGTAATATTTGTGGAAGTAGTTGTAACATATAGAAGTAGCTGTAATATTTGTGGAAGTAGTTATAACATATTATAGAAGTAGCTGTAATATTTGTAGAAGTAGTTATAACATGTTATAGAAGTAGCTGTGATATTTGTAGAAGTAGTTATAACATGTTATAGAAGTAGCTATAATATTTGTAGAAGTAGTTATAACATGTTATAAAAGTAGCTGTAATATTTATAGAAGTAGTTATAACATGTTATAGAAGTAGCTGTAATATTTGTAGAAGCAGTGATAACATATTATAGAAGTAGCTGTAATATTTGTGGAATTAATGATAACATATTATAGAAGTAGCTGTAATATTTGTAGAAGTAGTTATAACATGTTATAGAAGTAGCTGTAGTATTTGC